TACCGATTCGAAAAACACGCGAAATATAAATTAAAAATTCACCTTTCAATTTGATCACAGTAGTATGATTTTGAGGGGTTCTTACTGCAAATACATACAAAAATATATATTTTATAAATAAGAAAGCACGTTCCAGAAAATTTAAGGTGCCAATTACTCATTCCATTCCATTTCATTAATTTAATATTATATAGTAATTGCATAAGTTTTATTAGATATGGAGCACAGTGGCGTATACCATAGATATAGTAATGCATGCACATATACTTATCTGAGGTTCAGCACCTTGCGGAAGATTTCTTGTGTAACGGTTGCGCTGAAATTTTTAACAAAAGAAAATAAGAAGTGCTACGGGCACTTCTTCATATTTTTGTTATTTATCCTTTATCAAAAAATATTGACAAAGATAATATAATAATTGTTCACATGAGTTATGCCTACAGCTTATGTAATGGATCATTAAAGCTCATTGCTTGTCCGAACACCGCCCGCAACGCCGTTCAATTAGTTGTAAGGACATAATTATTAACAAGAAGGGAAAACGAAAGGAAAATAAAAACCGTAAACTAAAAGATTTGACTTTGATAGTTATGATTAGTGTTGATGTAAGATTTATAAAAAGTCAGCTTGGGGCTTTCTGTGAGAGAGCTGTTTCAGTAACCAAAAAAGAAAATAAATCTGAAACAATTATTTTAGCGTCACTTTTGCATTACAACAAATTACTTTTACCTCAGCGTTTTGAATGTCAAATATGACAAATGCCAATATAGATCTTTCGAAATCCACGACAGCTAATATCATACCTAAAGTTTCCGGATGCGTATGTACAAAATTCTGTTTGATATAATTTCTCCGATGGGCCTGTATTTTTAAGATGTTGATCTTTGTTTTATTAACATTAATGTGGTGAAAATATGAAAAGCTTTAGCTTCGAGCTAAAACCGCTTAAAGGAAATGTTTGTTATTTCTTTATAATTAAATTGAATATTATTACATTAATAATGAGATAAGACAGCGAAAATGGCACTATTTTCCTTTTAAATAATCCCAATTCAAAACAAGTTTGTTAGGTTGTTATATATGTGAGTTCTTATATGTACATGTACATCCAAAAAAAAAAAAATAAATAAATAATAAATAGTAAAAGTTCTAAGCAGCCAGCAAAAGCAGCATACGCAATATTGAAGTGTAGTGAAAAAAATCGCCTTAATTTTCTACATTTAAATGCTTTAACACTTATGTGACTACTTAAGCATTCTAATTGTTGACATCATTACATACATACCTATCTATCGTTAATTACATATACATATAATTTCAAATAAACTTATTTATGTAAATTTTGGCTTTTTACGTATCTAATTCAATAAGTAACCAAACAATTTAATTCACATTCCTTCGATGCATATGAATGTGTGTTTGTAGATTTGTGTGATTTTTAAACAAAATAATCCAATATTGACATAATGATATTTAATATTAATGATATTTGATAAATAAAGCTAAAACACAACCTTATGGATTATACAACAGTATTTGATGAAGATTGGCATAGAAATAAAAGGATTAATTATAAAAAGATCTTATTAATTTAAAACAAATTATATAAGAAAGTGAAGTGAAAAACGTTAATAAATAATAAGAAAAATCGGCGTAACCCTTATATGAGCGTGATCTGATAATTGAAATTCTATATACATACATATTTTATGTCACCTCTATATGACTGCAGGACATTTATTTGGGACTTTTTCGTCAGTATATCCAAAAAGTCTCAGCATTGCTTCATAATTCTGATTTTCGATATAATTTTAGAGAACACTGAGGCTCGTAACTTGCCTCAAGCAATAGACCTGACGCCAATGGACTAAATTAAGTGAATAATCAAAATTATGTTTGAAAACTTTTTTGCCGCTACAACAATACTATGTGTTTACTTCAATTAAAGTACTGAAAACTATTTTTACATAAACAGTATGTTAATATCGTTTTATAGAAGTACACTTTTTTAACATGTTAGACGAATTGTATGTTCCCTCGATAAAATTTATGGCAACTTCATTACAATCCATGGCACGCGCCCAAAATTTTTATAGTAATAGTAGTCATAAGCTAATTTACTCAGAATTAGAAGTATGAGAAAGGCCAACACTGCATTGAGCATATCGAGCGGATATATTTTCGGCTCCTCTTCCGGTTTGCAGACATCTTCACGTGTAAGCGAGAGCACACTGGCTCGACGCACCGGACTACTGTTTTTATAGGTGCACGTGATATTTATGGCATCACGAGTTATTTCATTGTACTTCATGAGTATCTCACGAAAACGCATTATAAATATGCAAGTGCATTGCCAAGGATTGCCGCTGAGAAGTAGGAGATTTGCGTCGAGATTGCCGTCCAGTGCGTTATCGAGTGCATATACAGGTAACTGTGGGAAAAGGGGAGAAATATTAAACACTTAAGTAAGTAATTTTTATTTTTAATTATTGTTTTTATTTTTGGTTTCTATTTATAACCAATTACATTATAATATTAACTTTACCTTTTGCAATCGATTACCGCGCAAGCTGAGCAAGCGAAAGTGCTCAAACCAATAGCCACCTTCTAACACATCAATCGTCTCAATGCGGTTATTGTCCAAATGGATGTCCACTACATGACGATAATACGGATTGTTACGTAAAGGTAATATGTCTATTATCTGTAAGTATTAAACAAAACGATTTTTCTATAGAAATTTTATTTCCTCTAATTATAATAAATTTCCTATGCACTGTACGTCTTATAATCTTTATATGTTTGTCCGCGATGGACTTCTTAACTACTGAACCGATTTTAGCTAAATTTAGCACACTGTGTCCAGTTCAACTTAGAAGATAGGATAGTAAAAACAAAACAATTCATAAATAAAGAATATAGCTCTATTAAATGGACGTCCTATTAAGCAGACATCTCCATTAACCATGTACATTGCTGATGTTTATTAAGTGCAATCTATTAACTGGACAGAAAGACTGGACTTGAGAAAGCAGACTTAAATTCGTTATTTTTTTCAATGAAATTTATATCTATGAACATATTCAAAATTAAATCTCAAGTACAATCCCTTGGATTCTTATACCGACAAAAACGTTTTCGCCTCTATTCGTAAATCACTTTATTGAATAG